AGTCAAACCCCTCACTAAAATCAGGACCGATCCTAACCAAACCATTCCAGCCAGGGCTTTGTCAAGCTGGGACTTAAAAACTTCTAAAGATGGAGATTCCACCACCTCTCTAGGTAACCCATTCTAGTGATTCACCACCCTCCCAGTGAAATAGTTTTTCCTAATATCCAACCTTGATCTTCCCCACTGCAACTTGAGTTCATTGCTCCTCATTCTGCCATGTGTCACCATTGAAAACAGTCTCTCTCCATCCTTTTTGGAAGAAACAACCCCCCCCCCCCCCACTCTTCTCTTTTGAGGACTAACTAAGCCCAAATCTCTCAGCCTCGCCTCATAAGTCATGTGCTTCAGTCTCCTAATCATTTTCATTTCCCTCACTGAACTCCTTCCAGTGTGTCCACATCCTTTCTGTAACATTGCCCCCAGCATTGAACACAATACTACAGATGTAGCCACACCAATGCCAAATAAAGGGGAATAATCACTTCTTTGGATCTGTTGGAAATGTTCCTACTAATGTACCCCAGTATGCCATTAGCCTTCTTGGCTAAAAGGTCACTCTGTTGACTCATATCCAGCTGTAATCCCCAGGTCTTTTTCTACCAAACTGCTGCTTAACCAGTCAATCCCCAGCCTGTAACAATGCTTGGGATTCTTCTGTTCCAAGTGCAGGACTCTGCACTTATCCTTGATGACCCTCATGAGATTTGTTTTGGCCCAATCCTCCAATTTGTCTAGGTCACACTGGACCCTGCCCATATCCTTCAATGTATCTAACTCTCCCTATCTTAGTGTAATCCGCAAATTTGCTGAGGGTGCAATCCATTCCCTCATCCAGGTCATTAATAAAGGTGTTGAACAAACCCGGCTGCAGAACTGATCCCTGGGGCACTCTGCTTGATACTGACCATCAACCAGACATCGAGCCATTAAACACCACCCATTGAGCACATCAACCTAGCCAACTTTCTATCCACCTTAAATCCATTTAGTCCATACTTCTTCAATTTTCTGTCTGATTCTTTCTCATTGACATTTAAAGGGTTTGGATGTGAAGAAAAAATAATATGTGATCACATAATTAAAGATGATATCATAATGCATATGCACAAACATCTGAATTATAGTTGCTCTGGCAATGTTCTTACATTGCCTAACTTTTGAGTGGTTAAATCTGTAACAATGCTAAAAAATTTTAGCATAATTTTTCTGCGTACTATCCTAGGATTTTTTTTTTAAAGCAAACAAACAAATTTTATGACGTGGCATCATATTGAATCCCACATGCAGCATTGTCAGGGTTGGAACCTTAAATTCACAGCACAGGCCTCTGCCACTAAAGTTGCTTGCTCAGAAAATCCTGGTCTCAGCTCTGTGGACTCCCACTCCCGTTGCCCAGCCATTCACACTGCCCTTCCCCACGCCTAATCTGTGTCTCTGTCACACTGAACTCCAATCACCCTGCCCATGTTTCTTATCTCTACCATTTCCCAGTGCCAGTTTTTCTCTACAGGATCCTCAGTCTACCTCATTACTTTGCCCTCCCATCTTCTTGTCCAAGTCTCTTTAGCCCAACCACACACAGTTCTTCTCTCACACTCCAGCTCCTCATCAAATCTGCCTCCCTTCTCCCATCACTTCCTTCCCCACTGGTTCTCAATTCCATTCTCTTTCCCCAACCAGTCCCAGTCTTTCCCCATAGCTTCTAATCCAATCTCAGTCTCCCCCCTATATACTGGGCTCCCAGTCACCCCCTCTCTTTGGTCAAATAATCAGTCTCCACTACAGCTCACAATTGTTCCCTCCCCACTACCCTATGAGCCTTTAGTCTGTTTTCATCCCCTCCTTCTTTTTCTAGGCTCCATTGCCCCTCTTGTGCCCCAGCCTCATACATCCATCTCTTGTAATCCAAACATTTGAATAAAGCAGCCTCTGCTTCCATACTGCCTGAGCCCAATGCTAGGAGGGGTATGTTAGAGTACAACAGAGACAGGCTCTGTGTTCTCAGTTCAGAAATAGACTACAACAATTCAGAGCTACAGTTAGAGGCTGGAGCATGCCCAGTATGTACAGAACCTTTGGGGAACTTAGATGCTAAAATCTAAGTAGTAATGAGCTAAATTTGGGAGGATTTTCAGAGGCCACTCCCTTGCCAAATTTCAAGTAGCTGCTCCAAAATATGGGGTTGCTAGAGTTTTTCAAATTAAAATTCACAAAAATTTTAGCCTGGGCAACACAGCATTTCCCCCCCTCAAATACTGTTCCAGAAATGGCTGAACAATTTTGGATGATATTTTCCAAACAATGTTCAATCTGAAGCAAACAGCTGGCATAGAATGTTTTGGCCAAAGTGGGTGAAACTGAGTAAAGTACAGGTTGAACCTCTCTAGTCCAGCACTCTCTGGTCCAGCAACACCTGTGGTTCATCATGATTTTAGTCAGCCTGATGCCCACTTATTATGGGTGTGTCCAAATTTTCCATGGCCCCATAAAGTCTGTTCACAGCCACAAGTCCTGGATCTCAGTGTTCTGTGCTGTTATTTAGCGGCAATTTACTCCTACATGTCTTCTAAGAACCCAACAAACTGTGGAAGTGTTGATAATGCTGCTAGACAATATTGACCTCCCGTGATCTGGCAAATTCTCTGGTTCAGCACCAGTCAGGTCCAAAGGGTGCTGGACTAGAGAGGTTCAACCTGTAATAGAACAACTGACAAGACTGGAAAAACTTGCCATCTGTCTACACTGGCCACTTGAATTTCTGGCAAAGCACTGACGATCTCATGTAAGATCATCAGTGCTTTTCCGGAAATACTATGCTGATCCCGTTTGGGCAAAAGTCTTCTTCCGAAAGACTTTTGCTCAAAAGGGCCAGTGTAAACAGCACAGTAGTGTTTTCCGCAAAAAAGCCCCGATCGAAAAATGGCCATCGGGGCTTTTTTTGCGGAAAAACACGTCTAGATTGGCCATGGACGCTTTTCCGCAAAAAGTGCTTTTGCGGAAAAGCATCCTGCCAATCTAGACGTGCTTTTCCAAAAATGCTTTTAACGGAAAACTTTTCCGTTAAAAGCATTTTCGGAAAATCATGCCAGTGTAGACATAGCCACAACAGTATAATGGTGGAAGATGTTGAGCAACCTCTATAGGCAGTGCTACTACTACCAATTCTGCCCAAAATACAATTGTTTGCTAGTGCTAGCAAACTGTAAAATTGAAATTAAAACTTTGTGGAATTTACTGTGGGAAGGAAGAGAAATGAATTAATATTCTAGAGATTATTTACAAGCAGCACTGAAAATTCCCAACATTAACAATCCACAGGCTCGTTTCCTTTATGATCAGTCGACAGCAGGTCTGGACAGACACCATTCTAAATTTGTTTGTGTAGTTCTACCCACAGCCAGGAGATGCTTAATGAGGCATTGGAACAAACCATCACTGCCATCTGGAAAAGAATGGATTAGCTGTTTGAGTGCATGCGCTGTGCATGCTTTTGGGAAAAAAATAGCTTGTGACACCAAGGAATCCTCAGAGACTTTTAATAAAGTATCTAGACATGGGTTAAATTACAGCCTGACCCACTTCATCTGACATTATTGTAACCTTTTTAACACCCAAACAGACTTGGATTGTGATTCTGATTTTTTTTTCTGTGTCTTTTTGAAGGTTTATTCCAAACATGGAATTTGCTATGATTTAACTTAGATAACCTGCGTGGGTTGTTTGGGGCGTCCTTGCTTGATCTGGCAAATCCTTGCTCACAAAATTAGTCTTTACTCCTGCAAGATTTTAATGGGATTATCTGCCTGGATAATGTTTGAATTAAAATGAATATATATATATAGCTAAGATAGGAAGACCTCTGTAAAGAACATTGATTTCGGATGGTCACTATTTTGCTTGTAAAAAGGGAAATATTTTGGAATTTTTCTCTATTTACCTATTTATAATTCAGAAAATGAAAGCCATTGAGATCATCATCACAGCCCATCACAATTAGTCGCTCACATTAATGCACCTGTGTTGTAAAGACCAGGCTTGCAGACAAGCTTCTGCTTAATCTTGGGTGGTCTCTCAACCAGGTTTGATTAAATGTCTTTTCACAACAGGTGACTTTTTAATTGTTTTCTTATGGCAACTCATTTATTCTGAGGCTTTTGTTTGGCTTGCATTAGTTTTCAAAGTTAATGACTGTGTGGGACAACATGCTGAGTACAGGTGGCGAATGGTAATGTTAAGAATGTCGGTATTATAGCATATGCAGGAGGCAATTGGTTAAACTTTGCCAATTAATACATATGGAGAAAATCCCGCTTGCGTTACTCATAGAAATATTCCCACTGAAGCCCATGATTTTGGAATAGTTTAACACATGTCGTTTCATGGCTTTTAAATGCCTTCAAAGAGTAAAAAGTGCAAAACTGGCATTCTGGCAATAGTACAACAATATAGCTCATTTTCCCCTCTTTGGATGCCAGTAGGATTCCTTGAGAAACACCATGATGTGAACCAAAGCGAGGAACTGAATCAGTAAATTTCATTCATCTTAGGGAGTGGTTCCCTTGGCAAATCCTGGAGTTCTTTCCCTGCCTCTCAAATCATTACCAGTTGCTTTATGGTTTACGGATGTCCATATCCTATAATCTCTATTGCTTGCCTTCACGCTCCTATTAAATACCAAAAATGAGAAGCCAAGGTATTCTGTGTTGGCCCCAATGGAAACTAACAACTATCCTAGTTTGCAGGAAGTGTCCCTGCTCACACAGACATATACAAATCATTGCCAGTGATAAATGAAATGATGGGAGCATACTAACTGCAAAATAATTAAACCCACGTGGCACTGATGTAGGTGGACAGAACAAAAAAGTAAAAAATACTGCTGGACTAAATAGGCTGTCAATAGCTGCAGATAGTATATCAAATAACCTGTCCACTGGATTTCATTTTTACTTCTTTCCCTTTCTAGCAGACAAAACATTTGGTTGTAATTAGCTTGTGTAAAGGAAATAGCATCTGAAGCCCCTGCGTTGCAAGAAGGATGACCTCTGACCTGGTATGAAGACACTTGGAAATATCTGCTAAATCTTGGTTAACTATGTATGTAGTGGGTGGGGGCAATTTGAACAAATACACGGGGATTTGCCAAGTATGTTCAAAAGCTACAAAACTATGTTGTATGACAACTGAGAGAGGATTAAAAACCATTTGGATCTAAAAATAATCTCTACAAATCTGCCAATGCCACAATTATTATAAAAAAGACGGTTTGCAGTTTATTTTCAGTTGAAATGTTATTGACACAACAGGCTCCTTTCTCCGTGGTCTCTGTGTGACATACGGGAGAGGCTCTGAGTTCTTCACAAATTTGATACTTTACCTTAATTGCAAAGGAAGAATCAAAAGATAGGAACATAGGAATTGCCATCCCATTCAGATTAGTGGCCTATCTACTCCGATATCCTACCTCTTACACTAATCAGCAAATCACCAAGTAACACAAGAGTGAACCTTTTGTTATAGGTTGTACAAAAGATATGTTCCATCCAGTTAACCTCCCTTTTCTTGGCAAGCTCCTGTATTAGCCTCTCTTCATGAAATGAAGTTTCCTTATGGAAAAATATTATAAGTTATTATTCTTTATAATATTCTTTCTGTAGAATTTCAAACCAATTTATAACATTCTATAGCAGTGATATATTTCTGCATTAAATTCTATATGGTGGTTTAAAAGTTCTATGGAAAGGATATTATTCACTATTAACTTCCATATGCTTTTAAAGTGATTTCTGTAGAATACCATTTCATTTTTTTATGAAACCAGATTGGTTTCATCCCGATTAAGTTCCATAGGACTTTTTCATTAGGGTATTTTATCATTTACAAATCCGGTGCATATGGAATGACTATATACAAATAATCCAAAATCTGTGTTTTACAGATTTGAAACTTCAGATCCTTAAGCATTTTGCAGTCAGCTACTGATTTTTTATATATATTTTAAAACAAAACAGAACATTTGCAGTTTATCTTATTTTAAAAACACAAGCTAAAATAATTTGAAGAATCCATATAATTGAGAGAAAAATGATAAGAATTCCACCATTTAAAATCTTTAAAACATCCCAAATGTTCCTTACTACATATACCATTTTGGATTAGCTGCTGGAAGTTGGATTAGCAGCAATTGCAAGCTGACTCTAAAACTGTTCTTTAATATTTTAGAGTGGAGAATGAGGAATTCCTGCACCATTCAATCTTCACAAATTAGCACAAATAGTTGTGGGTCCCTGCCCACCAACTTGAAGGTTTCACTATTCCCATTCATTCACATACACTAGAGATACACAAAAAGAATGACTTGTGGAACACATTTTAGCATTTTTTCCATTAAGGAGGAGGCGATTAAGTCTGGCAGGATGCCAGATTCTGATGGTCATCAGTCCTTCTGGGGCAATTTTTTAACTTTGCAGCTGTATTGTTGGCTTCAACTTGCAGTCCCAAAGATATTTGCAGTGGTTTTGTTTTTCTGTTGAGAGTGTTTTAAGATTTTTTTGTTTTGTTTTGCTTTGTTTTCTTATTGTTTCATTTTAAATGCAAGGTTTTTATTTTGTTTCAATTTGTTTCTTTTTGCATCTGCCACAGTCCCCGCTGTGTCACCACCCCTTGGAACACTTTCACCATTCTCAGACCCTTCTAGTTGCAAGAACTGTGAGCAGTTAAAAGACCATATCATGAGCTATAACACATGGCTGTGGGTGTCAGCTAACAATTTGCAGGTGCATATAAGTCCAGCAAAGCTTTCAAGTTATATGCACTATATAAGCTATGTTTGACACTCTCAGTGGTTGCATCTGAGCAAATTAGTATCTTATTTATCTCAAATTTATGAGTCCCATCAAGTGAGTGGAGGGAAGGCTGATGTTTCAAACATCCAGAAGTAGATAGAAAGGCTTTTTTGTTTAGTTTTTACTACTGATAGTCCTTCAAGGGTCTTTACTTTGGATTTTCACTAGAGCATCCAGGAAGAGGATGGCATCCAGCAATGCCCCAGTTTGAAAGCTAAAATTTAAATATGCGATGGTTTGGATAAAATAAAAAGTAACCCAATGCTTCATCTAATACATATAATAATAAAAAAAAAATACTTAAATAAGATTTTAGAAAGTTAATTGACTTTTTATTCATTAATTTTTCCAGTCTCCTTCCCAAAATTTTAAGCAGCAGCCAGGACTAATAGACTACACATGGGAATGGAAACCAGGATTTCTAATAATTGACTCTGCCATGAATTCTTGGGTAAGTCATACAACCTCTCCCTCTCTGTGTGCCAGATTATGGAGCTATTCATGTCTAGCCAGTTGAAAGTTGCCGCGCTGGAAGCCAGCACACTTGTATTAAAAAGGAGTTCTCCCATGCCAATAAATTCTCTACTGGGCAGTTTTCAGCCACTTTCTCTCATCAAAGTGGTGCAAAAGGGTCAGCTCTCAGAAGATAACTATGCATTATGCACATCTGATAAGTCACCGAATGCAGAAGAACTGACAGGGTATGGTCACAGGCCGAGCAAAGGTTATCTACTTGGTGGGCTTTACGGTAATATAAAATCTGTGTATGTGCTAGGGAAGGAAAATTACATTTCCAAGCAGAAGAGGAGACTTGTTGGTGAACATTGTTGGCTATCTGATTGACAAACTTAAGTTTTCTAGACTACCAAACACACCATAAAACTTTTATTTTAGTTTTAATTATGAAATGATTGAGGCCTTGGGCTAGTGCGATATTTAAATGAACTAATTTCTTTACAATTACCTATTATACTCAGCTTAAGGTCACATTAGCTTATCAAGATTAATATTTTGACAGTGAATTCTAACTGAATTACTCGTGATTGGCTACTTATGCTTACTTGGCTACTTATTTTCCCTCAGTTCTCTTCTATCTGCTATCTTAGGGCATGTGTACACTACAGAGAAAATCAAACCGGGGTCAATCTTCAAACATTCGATTTAGTGGGTCTAGTGTAGACCCCTACATGGAATGCTGAGAGCAGCCCCAGCTGGCATCCAATATTCATCGATCTGCAAGGATTAAGGAAGCCAATGGGAGCACATGCTCCCCTAGTGTAGCTGCTGCGGCGGCTTGACTTAAGGTAAGCCAAATCCAGCTATGCATTTTGCACAGCTGGATGGCGTACCTTAAGATGATCTGTCTGGTCTAGTGTCAGGCCTTAGAAATATGGACAACAAGAGAATCTTAAATAGTTAAGCATGCATAAATGCATCCACTGAACATAAAACAGAATGATGGTGAATGGTCAGATAGTAAATTGTCAGAGCAATGAACAACAGGAAATTACCATGTGAGTTTGTGTACATTTGCAAACTCTGTCTCCAACTATTCTCATTGCCCAGCTATCTTTCAACAAGATTTATACTGAAAGAAACCCAATCAAAAGTAGCTGACTGCATAATTTCAAGATAGTATTGTCATCTGTATCTTTTTAAAAAAAAAATCTTTTTGATGCAGGCGAGATAGAAATAAAGTAAAGATGGACTGGCTAATAAAAAATTAAACTTTCATAATTTTTCATGGGAAAAAATCATGATAAACTTGCAAATATACAAAAACATCCTTTTCTCAGCTGCACTGATTTTGCAATCTGCCATATTTCTACAGTCCTCAAAAATTTCTAGAAGTCTTTGTGGATCTTCATCTTTCTCCAAATATCTCTGAATTTTACTTCAAGCTTCTGTTACCACTAGGTAGCATGCAATTGCTCTGGTAAAATTTTTCAAGCATCACCCTCTGTTTGACTTTCCTCATGCAGATACATTTTAAATCCCTACCTGTTCTGTCTATTTTCTCTTTGAAGGAAACAAGGCAGTTCTATGAAAGCCCCAATTCCACTGCAGTAATACTTGGAGGCAGGAGTTCTCTCAGGCTATGTCTACACGGCAGGCTTCTTGCGCAAGGAGCCTTTTGTGCAAGAGTTTTTGCGCAAAAAGTTCTTGCACAAGAGCATGTCCACACCTCAAAGCGCATCGCAAAAGTGATGTGCTTTTGAGCAAGAGCACATCCACACTTCATGGACACTCTTGCGCAAGAAAGCTCTGATGACCATACACAGAATGGCCATCAGAGTACCTGTGCTTTTTTTTCCATAGGGGTTTCTTGCACAAGAAACCTCTCTGGAGCATCCAAACTTGCCTTTTAATGCAATAGCTGTAGCACAAAAGGGAATTACGCCTGTAGAAGGAGGTTTACCTACACTGGCAAAAGCCCTCTGTTCTGACATTTTACTGCTGATTTACTTGAGCAAAAGCACACTTGAGGTGTGGACTCTCCATAGGTTTTTGAGCAAAAATGGGAGTTTTTGCGCAAAAGCTTTGCAATGTAGACGTAGCCTCAGTGAACTTTAACAGCTCATCAAGCAAATTGTCTCTATCCACACATGAAGAAAGGAGACATTGGCTGTCTTGGTAAGAATGAGAAACATTCACACATGTTCACCGCATGTATACACGTTGGTAGGTCTGGGAATTGGTATCTATAAAATGCTCCTATCCCCAGATCATTAAGAATTTATTTTGAAAATTAGGGCTGGTCAAAATGTTCCTGTGAACACTTTTTTTCAACAGGAATTTGGACTTTGAACAAAACAATTTTTGTTTGGCAAAGTTCTGTGGAAAATGTCAATACACAGAGATGCATACACCAGGGACTCTTGAATACATATTGCCTGATCGTGCACTACTGAAGTCATTGGGAGCTCTGCCACAGAGGAAGAGAGACAATGGGACATTTTAATTTACATTAGGGTCATTTTACACAGCTAGAGAAATGTGAAGCAGCTTTAGAGTGAGTGTAAGGGTAATGTAGGCTTAATTACACTGTCCAAACGATATTAGAGGCACCTTTGTACATGGAAGTCAGGCTTCTTGAAGTGTTCTGTGATCTAATTCCTAGTTAATTAGGGCTGAATTAATATGTTTATATGAAGTGCATTAGTATTATTTCTATAAATTGGGGGTTCTGGGATTTTTAAACAATCTGCAGCAAGGGTATGTCTACACTAGCTCCCTAGTTCAAACTAGAAAGGCTAATGAGGGGGACCGAAATTGCAAATGGAGTGCGGAATTTAAATATCCCGTGCTTCATTAGCATGTTCCCAGCCGGTCACCATTTTGGAAATTGACTAGCCTGGAATAACTGCCCGTGTCCACACGCGGCAGAGAAGGGCAATTCCTAAATAAACCCCTTACTTCGAATTACCACTTAAACCTCATGGAATGAGGATCATGGAATGAGGTTTAACTGGTAATTCGAAGTAAGGGGTTTATTTAGGAATTGCCCTTCTCTGCCGCGTGTGGACACGGGCAGTTATTCCAGGCTAGTCAATTTCCAAAATGGTGACCGGCTGGGAACATGCTAATGAAGCACGGGATATTTAAATCCCGCATTTCATTTGCAATTTCGGTCGCCCTCATTAGCCTCCCCAGTTCGAACTTGGGGGCTAGTGTAGACATACCCCATGATTGGACTTTGGATTAACAACAACAAATATGGATGCTCGATAAACAATCTGATGCCTACAAGAATAGGATTGGTCAGAAAAGTACTGACACTTGCACTTTTACTCTGTGGGGACATATCAGGAACACAAGCTTTCATCACTTTCCATTCCATATGTGGATGGAAAGTTAGCTGAGAACCAAATGCTTTCTCACTTAATAAGGGCTACACTTTTCTATGGAGTAGATGGGGGCTCTGGGATGCAGAAGGGAGCTTGCAGTAGGGAATTGGGGTGCAGGAGAAGGTGTGGGGTCTGAGTGAGAGTTTGAGTGAAGGAGAGGATTCACAGTGCATGAAGCTTCCCCCTTCCCCCTTGACACAGAGAGGCAATATCAAAGGGAAAGCTGAGCCAAACTAGTAACTTTTAGTAGTTACTAAACTTTTAGTTTAGTAGTTAAAGTGATGGACTGGTACCCTGGAGATCTACTGAATCCTAGTCTGCCACAGACTTACTATTTAGCTTAGATAACAAGGAGTCCAGTGGCACCTTAAAGACTAACAATATTTTATGGCATAAGCTTTTGTGAGTTGCAACTCACTTCATCAGATGCATGAAGTGAAAGAAAAAGAAACAGATAGTAGGAAGATAGAGATGAGAGCTAATTCAATGTAGCTTAGTTAAATCATTAAAGGTATGTCTACACGGCAGTTAGACATCCATGATTGGCCCATGCCAGCTGATTTAGCCTGATGGGGCTTGAGCTATAGGGCTGTTTACAGAATAGACATTCAGGCTCAAGCTGAGGCCCAGGTTTTAGGACACTGTGAGGGTCCCAGAGCTCAGCCATCAGCCTGAGCTGGAACATGCATACCACAATTAAAAAGCCTCACAGCTGAGACAGCTGGTACAGACCATCCATGAGTGTCTAATTGCAGTGTAGACATATCCTCTGGGATAGATTTTTAAATGAGTTTAGGTGCCCAAAAATACAGGTAGGCACCCCAGGTAATTTTCAAAGCACTTGTCTGCATCTTTAGGTACTTAAATGCCTTTAAAATGTTGGTTTTATCTCTGTGCCTCAAGCCCCCATATGTTAAATTAGAGAGTAGTACTTTCCTGTTTCAAAGGGATATTGCAAGGATAAATTGGTTAGTAATGGTGAGGCATTCAAATACTGTAGTGCGGTGGGCCATAAGCACCTAGATTATACGGATTTTATATAAATGTGAATCAGCATCACTCTACTCAAAGTGGATGGGAACAAATATTTATTTCTGTGCTTATAGCCCAGAAAGGTATAAGTCCAGTTTTGCTGTTTTAATTCCATGCAGCTTTCATGGAATTTCATGCTAGTACTGGATAAAGTAAGGCATAGAGGCAGACACTGTAGATGTTTCCCTGCCAATGAACCTTGGTATCTGATTTGCCACATCCCTGCTATTTTAGAACCGGTTCAGGATGCTAAGTACTCTGTGCCTTTAATTTGAGGTTGAGGACCCTCAGCATGTTGTTGATAGTATCTGAGTCCTGCCTTAGAAGCTCTCTCTTAGCCTCATTAATGAACTAGCATCAAGAGGCCTAATTGGTGGCCCTTTCGTGCGGAATGGTACTTAATTAGAAACAGACCCGCAGCTGCTGCTGTGAAACAGGGAAGGCACCATCTGAATTAGGTTGGGGAGTCAGGAGAAGTAGGAAGGACATAGATGAAGGTCCATCACTTTGGGGCTGACTTGGGCTAAGATGAAGAACTGGGAGGGTCAGGAGAAGGTGAATAAATCACAAA